GGTAGAGGCTACAAGAATTGTGAAATACGTGCTAGAAAATGTCAATGCTGCCATGATGGGATTTTAAAGGCAAGTGTGATTATGGCTCAGAAATAAAAGAGGACAGCTGTACGGAAAGCTTCTGTCTTCTTAAGACAGTACGTAATTATGAATCATGTTAGATGGTAGAGGCCATTCTGATAAAACCTCAAATGGAAATGACGAAACATGTTATTAAAAACTAGAGGAAAGCCCACCCTTGTTACAAAGTGGTAAAAAACTTGGCTGAATTGTATTTATGTTCTAGTGTTTTGTGGAACGTGGAACTTGTAAGTGATGAAAGTGGATAGTTAGCAGAGGACATTTCTAGGCAAAGTGTTAAAGGAGTGGCTTACTTCTTCCCGATCACTTATAGAAAAACGTAAGAAGAGAGAAATAAGTTGAAGATGGAATCGTTAACCAAAAAGGAACCAAAACTTAAATATTTGAAAAATTCTGAACTGTTAATGTTACAAAAAAATTTTTAAAAAGCATGTTCAGAAGAGAACACTAAGGGTATGGTGAACTAACCACTTGAAAAGGAGATTCGTGTAAGTGTGAACCATGGACTTAATCAGCCATCTCAACAGAAACCAGGAACAGAGATAGGGCAATTCTAGCAGAAATTAGCAAGAGGAAATCTCGAGCAAGCTGAGACTAAAAGAAAGAGAAAATAGGATACAATTAAGGAAGACCATCAGACTTCTTAGAACTTCAGGACTACAGGACTCAACCACTAAACAGCAAACATGCACTATCCAAAACAAGGGAAGAAGGACTCCAAAGGAGATTCAGAAATCCACAGAGCTGCCACTCCCACCATCGGCCCAGAGTGCCATGGGCTGAGCCTGAGAATGGGGCTGCCTCCACCTCAGTTTCAAAGGGTGGGACCTACACCCAGCAGAGCCATGGGGCAGGGCTGCTGGGACCCATTGGGATACCACCCCCACTGGCCAGAGTCATAAAAGAGGAACCACTGCCACCATGAGTCCAGAGGGTAGAACATCAAAATGATTATTCTTGGGCCTTAAGATCTCACAGAGCTTGCCTTGCTATTAACTTGCCTAGGATCCATCTTTCCTTTCCTTCTTTCCTCTGTCTCCCTTTTGGAATGGGAATGTCTCTCCTATGCCTATATATTTTGGAAGCACATAACTTGCTTACTTTCACAGGTTCGCGGCTGGAGAGAAATTTGCCTCAGGATAAATTGTACTTCAAATCTTACCCACATCCAATTTACATGATAGTTAGATGAGACTTTGGACTTCAGACTTTTAAAGATAATGCTGGAACCAGTTAAGTATTTGGGGGCTGTTGGAATGGAATGGATTTATTTTGCATGTGAGAAGAACATGAACTTGGGGAAGCCAGGGGCAAAATGCAATGAATGAAATGTATGCCTCCAAATTCATATATTGAAATCCTAATCAAAATGTGATGATATTTGGAGTTGGGGGCCTTAGGGACACAACTAGGTCATGAGACTGAATCCATCATAATTGGAATTAGTGCCTTTACAAGATGACACCAGAGGGCTAGCTAGCTCTCTTTCCACTATGTGAGGGAATAGAAAGAAGACAGCCCTCTGTACACCAGGAAAAGTGCACTCACCAAGGACCTGACTATATCAGCACGCTGATCTCAAATTTCTAACCTCCAGAACTCTCAGAAATCAAGGTTTGTTGTTTGAATCACCCGGCACATGGTAATTTCTTAGAGCAGCCCAAACCAAGACAAATGTAATCACAATCAAGTTTCTGAAAATATACAGTTGAAATTAAGAAAATCAAAAATTCAGTTAAAATTAAGAAAATCTAAAATCTAAAATAGAGGTTCTTCTTTAAAAAAAAAAAAAAAAAACTAAGCTAATTTTGATAAGAAAGATCCTTTCCCCATTGCTTGTTTTTGTCAGTTTTGTTGAAGATCAGATGTGTGGTGTTAATTCTGAGGCCTCTGTTCTGTTCCATTGATCTATATATCTGTTTTGGTATCAGTACCATACTGTTTTGATTAGTGTAGCCTTCTAGTACAGTTTGAAGTCATGTAGTCTGATGCCTCCAGTTTTGTTCTTTTTGCTTAGAATTGCTTTGGCTATACAGGCTCTTTTTTGGTTCCATAAGAACTTTACAGTAGTTTTTTCTAGTTCTGTGAAGAAAGTCAATGGTAGCTTGATGGAAATAGCATTGAATCTATAAGTTACTTTGGACAGTATGGCCATTTTCATGATATTGATTCTTCCTATCCATAAGCACGGAATGTTTTTCCATTTGTTTGTGTCCTCTCTTATTCCCTTTAGCAGTGGTTTATAGTTCTCCTTGAAGAGGTGCTTCACATTCCTTATAGGTTGTATTCCTAGGCATTTTATTTTATTTGCAGCAATTGTGAATTGGAGTTCACTCATGATTTGGCCCTCTGTTTGTCTATAATTGGTGTATAGGAATGCTTGTGATTTTTGCACATTGAATTTGTATCCTGAGACTCTGCTTATCAGCTTAAGGAGTTTTGGGGCTGAGATGATGGAGTTTTCTAAATATACAATCATGTCATCTGCAAACAGAGACAATTTGACTTCTCCTCTTCCTATTTGAATACCCCTTATTTCTTTCTCTTGCCTGATTGCCCTGGCCAGAACTTCCAACACTATGTTGAATAGGAGTGGTGAGAGAGGGCATCCTTGTCTTGTGCTGGTATTCAAAGGGAATGCTTCCAGCTTATGCCCATGGAGTATAATACTGGCTATGGGTTTGTCATAAATAACTCTTATTATTTTGAGATATGTTGCGTCAATACCTAGTTTATTAAGAGGTTTTAGCATGAAGGGGTGTTGAATTTTATCAAAGGCCATTTCTGCATCTATTGAGATAATCATGTGGTTTTTGTCACTGGTTCTGTTTATGTGATGGATTACATTTTGATTTCTGTATGTTAAACCAGCTTGCATCCCAAGGATGAAGCCAACTTGATCGTGGTGGACAAGCTTTTTGATGTGCTGCTGGATTTGGTTTGCCAGTATTTTATTGAGGATTTTCGCATCAATGTTCATCAAAGATACTGGCCTGAAATTTTCTTTTTTTGTTGTGTGTCTACCAGGTTTTGGTATCAGGATGATGCTGGTCTCATAAAATGAGCTAGGGAGGAGTCCATCTTTTTCTATTGTTCGGAATAGTTTCAGAAGGAATGGTACCAGTTCCTTTTTGTACCTCTGATAGAATTTGGCTGTGAATCCATCAGGTCCTGGGCTTTTTTTGGTTGGTAGGCTACTAATTACTGCCTGAATTTCAGAACTCGTTATTGGTCTATTCAGGGATTCGACTTCTTCCTGGCTTAGTCATGGGAGGGTGTATGTGTCCAGGAATTTATCCATTTCTTCTAGATTTTCTAGTTCATTTGCATAAAGGTGTTTATAGTATTCTCTGATGGCAGTTTGCACTTCTGTGGGGTCAGTGGTGATATCCCCTTTATCTTTATTGTGTCTATTTGATTGTTCTCTCTTTTCTTCTTTATTAGTCTGGCTACTGTTCTATTTTGTTAATCTTTTCAAAAAACCAGCTTCTGGATTCATTGATTTTTTGAAGAGTTTTTTGTGTCTCTATCTCCTTCAGTTCTGCTCTCATCTTAGTTATTTCTTCTCTTCTGCTAGCTTTTGAATTTGTTTGCTCTTGCTTCTTTAGGATCCCCTATTCAATAAATGGTGCTGGAAAAACTGGCTAGCAATATGCAGAAAACTCAAACTGGACCCCTTCCTTACACCTTGTACAAAAATTAACTCAAGATGGATTAAAGACTTAAACGTAAAACCTAAAATCATAAAAACCCTAGAAGAAAACCTAGGCAATAGCATTCAGGACATAGGCATGGACAAAGACTTCATAACTAAAACACTAAAAGCAATTGCAACAAAAGCCTAAATTGACAAATAGGATCTAAGTAAATTAAAGATCTTATGCTCAGCAAAAGAAACTATCATCAGAGTGAACAGGCAACCTACAGAACGGGAGAAAACTTTTGAAATTTATCCATCTGATGAAGGTCTAATATCCAGAATCTACAAGGAACTTAAACAGATTTACAAGAAAAAAACAACCACATCAAAAAGTGGGCAAAGGATACAGACACTTCTCTAAATAAGACATTCAGGCAGCCAACAAACATATGAAAACAAGTTCATCCTCACTGATCATTAGAGAAATGCAAATCAAAACCACAATGAGATAGCATCTCACGCCAGTTAGAATGGCGATCATTAAAAAGTTAGAAAACAACATGCTGGAGAGGACGTGGAGAAACAGGAACACTTTTACACTGTTGGGAGTGTAAATTAGTTCAACCATTGCAGAAGACAGTGTGGAGATTCCTCAAGGATCTAGAACCAGAAATACCATTTGACACATCAATCTCATGATTGGGTATATATCCACGCACACATATGTTTATTGCAGCACTATTCACAATAACAAAGACTTGGAACCAACCCAAATGCCCATCAATTATAGACTGGATAAAGTAAATGTGGCACATATACACCATGGAATACTATGCAGCCATAAAAACTAATGAGTTCATGTCCTTTGCAGGAACACAGATGAAGCTGGAAACCATCATTCTCAGCAAACTAACACAGGAACAGAAAATCAATCACCACATGTTCTCACTAATAAGTGGAAGTTGAACGATGAGAACACATGGACACAGGGAGGGAAACATCACATACCAGGGCCTGTCAGGGGGTGAGGGGGAAAGGGAGGGAGAACATTAGGACTAATACCTAATGCATGCAGGGCTTAAAACCCAGGTAATGGGTTGACGGGTGCAGCAAACCACCATGGCACATGTATACCTATGTAACAAACCTGTATATTCTACACATATATCCCAGAAATTCAAGTGTAATACATAAATAAATAAATAAATAAATAAATGAAAAAAAATAAATAAAATGAATAATTATTTTAAGATAAGAAAAATCAATGAGGGAAGGAAGACAAAGAGGAAGTATTTACCAGATTTACCAGGTCAGTATTATACTACACAACCATAGTCATAAAGACAGTTCAATACTGGCATTAAAAAAAAAAAAAACAATGGAACAGAAAAGAGAGCTCAAGAAAATATTCAAGTATTTATGGAAGCTTGATGTGTGAGAAAATTCCCTCTACATATAAAAACAATAAAATCAGAGCCCTGCTTTTAATCGTACAGAAATCTGAACTAACAGATGCATTAAAGGCCTAAATGTAAAAGCAGAAACCATAGACTTAATAGAAGATTGAGAACATCTTTGTGACCAAGCGGTATGAAAGTACTTCTTAAATAAGATACCAAAATTGTAAACCATTACATATTTTGTGGATTTACTTACCAAAAATCAAAGATTTCTGTTTAACCAGGAATATCATGGACAAAACAAAGAAACAACAGACAAATGGCATGTTAGAAAAAATATGTGCAAGTCTGAGTACACCAAAGATTACTATCTAAGAAAATATGTAACTCTTATGAAACGTTAGGGACATGATAGAAAATCCATAAAAAACTAGATAAAGCATATAAACAGACAATTCATAGAAAAGAACATGTGAATATCATCTTCCTATGAAGAGATGTTCAGAATGTACTAGGAATCAAGGAGATGCATGTTAAAACAATGAAATTCTACTTTATGCCCAACAGAACAGCAAATACTGTAAAACTGAATAATACCAAGTAATAAACAACACATAAAGAAATGGGAACCTTCATACATTCTGGCAGGAGTGTGAATTGCTACAGCTAGCCATTCTGGAAAAAAAAATATGGCAATATTTCATGAAATTAAAACAAAATTGAATCTGGATACCTTAGCAGTTGTAAAATGTATTCCCTCTGACTTACAAAACTGTGTGAAATTCTCTAAAGTACATAAAAGGAAAGCATTTTTTATGGGTGAAGTTGGAGAAAAAAATAGATGTCCATTTCTTGGCGAATAGACAAGAAAGAAGTAATAAGTTCATACTATGAGTCTGTTAGAAGCAATAGATTAGATGAGCATATAACGTCAAGGACAAATCATAAAGTAAGAAATCAGATGTGGCCTCTAGCACAACACTAGCTATACAAATCAAAAACACATGTGTGAAACAATACTACATGCATCCTAAGAATATGTAAATATATAAATATCCTAGAACACAAATGAAACATATTAGATAGAATAAGTGCCTATCATAACAACTAACATGTATTGAACACTTATGTGCTCAGCCCTGTTTTAAATATACTAACTAATGTACTAATTCTCAAAACGTTTATCATTTTTATCTCTACTATATAACTGAGGAAAATGATGCACAGAGAGGTTGATATAGCAAGTGGGTGGCAGATGTGGAATTCAAGCCCAGGCAGTCCAGAGCCTGTACTCTTTGCTTCCCCTATGTTCTCTATGGAGAGGAGGCAAAAACTCAGGAGGGTGAATGAGAATAGTATGCCATGAAAAAATAATTAACTTAACCCCTACACCTGAGATCTGCAAAAGGAAACAAAGTCTTCAATTACAACATCTCCTTGTTACAACTCCAAGTCAAGTGCTTATATAACATGAGCAGGTAGATTATTAAATATTTGACCCTTTCTGGTTCTAAAATTTTCAAATCCTAATATTTGACTTTACGTTTTCTATGACAGAAGACCCAATCAGATACAGCATATCTGTGAAAAAAGAAAAATATATTATTTTTTACTTTTCTAGGACGATCTAAATACTATGTCATGGAAATTAATTCTTAACACAAAGTAGGCACTTTCAACAGGTAGATTAGGATGTTGAGTTCTAGGTTTTGGCAAACAAAGAAACTGGTTGCTATGTTTATACACGTAATACTAATACCCCTCATTAAATTAGCAGAACATTATTGGGGGGAAATATTGTAAGTTTAGCCCCTGAGGCTGCAAGGATTGTAGGGGTGATATTATCATAACAGCTATGACATTTAGAACAAAATAAAAACAAAGTAAAATACAAAGTAATCTTACAGTAGAACGCTTCCAGAAATGAATAATTTCAGTGATATTTATTGCAGGATGCAGTAAAAAGTAGTACTTCCATTCATCCCAGTCTACTGTCATTGACCCATCAGTATCCATGCTGAAATTTTTTTAAAAAGAAAATAGTGCTTGCAACATTTATATCAAAGTTAGCACCACTATAAAAATAAATACTTATTAAATATTTATTGTTGGAGCCACTCCTTTGGACTTCATGAAATTACTGTATTTTCATATTGTTATTTAAATGGACTTTATTTTTTAAGCAATTTTAGATTTTCAGAAAAATTGAGATGATAATACAGAGAGTCCCATATATCCCCACACTCAGTTTCCCCATTGGTAACATTTCACATTATTATGGTACATTTGTTATAATTAATGAACCAATATTATTAATTGCTACATTATTATTCACTAAAGTCCATGCTTTATTCAGAGTTTCTTCATTTTTAACTAATGTCCTCTCTTTGTTTCAGGATCCCAGCTGAAATGGCACATTCCATTTAGTCATCACGTCTCCTTAGGCTCTCTTGGCTATGATAGTTTCTCTTTCCTTGTTTTTGATAACCCTGATAGCTTCAAGGAGTGCTGATCAGGTAATTGGCAGAATGCCTCTCTAGTGGATTTTATTCCATATTGCTTTTTAATTATTTACTTGCATGTATTTCTCCCATATTTTCCTATGATATTTTGAAGGGAAAGACCAAGTCATCTGTGTATCTCCAACACTTAGCCTTCCATAAATATCTGTTGAATCAATGAATAAATGGATGAAAAGTGAATAAAACTGATTGAAGGGTAATTTTATATCTTTTGGCTCTTCAAGTATTATTTTTACTTCTGATCCTTTTCTCCCTATTTATAGCTTTTTAATCAACTTTAAAACAACCTTTTATTAATTTAAAAACTCACTTTTTACCATGGAAAATTTAGGATTTACTCAATTTTTAAGCATCTCAATTTTTTTAAGTTGTTTCATTGTCTGACTAAAAGGTGGAATTAGTGAAATGCTTTTTAGGTAGCATTATTGTAAATACAAATTCTAAAAAACAAATTCCATTCTGCCAACAAAATGATTATTACAATTTCCAGTTCTAGCCAAACAAAATAGTGGCTACAGAACTTAGATTGCCACAGTAAACCAATCTGAAACTGGACACAATATATGAAACAACTGTTTTCAGGCATCGGTCTACAAACAGGACAGGGTTGTGATACTTGAGAGAAGGAAACCGAGAAGTTGAGCTCTCCATTGATTCTCGTTTTTGGCTGGGGACACTTCAAATAGTAGCATAGACAAGTAGGAGCCTAAATTAAGAACAGGTGGGTAGAATAAACAAAGATTGGAGCTCAGGGTTGCTGAGACGGCAGGAATTTTCAGGTCAAATTTTGGACAGTGTTCCAGAAACTATACAGGTAACCTTGAATCTTTGGCCGAATACTAAGCTACACTTGACTCCATCGGCCTGACAAAAACAGCTACTGAAGGACTGTGAGTTTGTAGAAATTCAGTAGCTGAGCAATACTGGAGTTCAAAAAAGAAAGCAAAGTTGGAAGTGAGGGCAAGAAACATTACAAACAGGGGGAACTAAAAAAAAGCAACCACTGACATCAGAGTCAGCTCTTGATAGTAGACATCTTTGTTGTTGTTGTTGTTTGTTTGGTTTTTGAGAAGGAGTTTGGCTCTTGTCGCCAAGCCCAAGCTGGAGTGCAGTGGCACGATCTACGCTCACGGTAACCTCCGCCTCACAGGTTCAAGTAATTATCCTGCCTCAGCCTCCTGAGTAGCTGAGATTACAGGCACCTGCCACCACACCCAGCTAATTTTTGTGATTTTAGTAGAGACAGGGTTTCACCATGTTGGCCAGGCTGGTTTCGAACTCCTGACCTCAGGTGATCCACCTGCCTCGGCCTCCCAAAGTGCTGGGATTACAGGCGTGAGCCACTGCGCCTGGCCGATAGTAGATATCTTTAGTGATAACTTCAAAGTGCTGGAAAAAAAAAAAAATTCAACCTAGAATGCAACTGCAATAAAAATAACCTTCAAAAATGAAGGTTATATAAAGACATTTTCAGGTAAACTAAATAGTCCCTACAAAATTCACCTGTGGGCAATGTGGACCGCTTCAATCTGCTTTGCCTTATGACACTACATTGTAATCATCTGGAACTATCTACTAGCCTGAAACCCTCAAGTGGGGACTTTGGCATGTTCACAACTGCATCTTTTGTAGCTACAGCTATGACTGATGTTTATAGAAGTTCTATAAATAAATTTTGAATAAATCATTGCTATCAGTAATTCATAATTAATCAGAGTATGATTCAGCATTGTATTTCAAATTTTCCAAAAACAGTATAGCAACATATAATTTTGTGAGTAATGGCTTATAAAATACCATTTGTCATATCAATGAAAAAAATCCATAGATTGACAAAACTCCCAAGTTTCTATCAAACTTGACCTATCTGTTACTTCTTTTTTAAAAATATCCTAGTTTTTATTTTAAGAAAGCTTATTTCTTGTTTAATTACTTACGAATAGAGAACATATTCTGTATGATTCCAGTTCTTTATTAAAATATTTCACATTTCCTTTATGACCCACTGTATGGGCAAATCTTATCAATGTCCTACGTGTGCTTTAAGAGAAACATATTCTTCAGTTTTCAAGTGTAATATTCTATGAATGTTTTCTAGGTAACGGTTGGTGATGGTATTGCTATATTTAATCTTTAATGGCATTTTCTATCCGCTTGTTCTATTAAATGCTGAGAAATCTGAGTTAAACTCTCTTACTATAATCATTGACTACTTATCTTTTCTTCCTTGTACATTTGTTAATTCTTGATTTATAAATTTGGGCTATATTATTAAACCTATACAAATTTAGAATTCTATCTTCTGGGTAAATAAAATCCCTAATCATTACAAAATGCCCCTTTTTATTTTTGTAATGTTTTGCTTTCTCCATCCTTTTCTTCTAACACTTCCATTTACTTAAAAATATACCTCTTGTAACAGTATGTAATTAGATTTTGTCCACAGCAACAGCCAAAATATTCTGTCAGATATAAGATACAGATTAACAGGATATATTTCATGTTAAGACATAAAAGATAGAATCATAAAACAATCAAGAAATAATAAACTATAAGGAATTATCAAACGTATCTGAAAAAGAACCAAATGACATAAACTTCTATAAGTAAAAAATTGTTAATAAACTCAATAGAATGGTTAAGTGAAGAAAAGAGATAGATGAAGAGGGGAATTGAAGATATATTTGAAGGACTTACCCAGAATGCTGCACAGAAAAAGAAAAAAGTAGAAAATATTTTAAAAAGACAAAGAAAATGAAGAGCAAACTGTATTTTAAAATATAAAGATTGAGATTTTTTTTAAACTGTCATAAGACATTAACTCATAGTTTCAAGAAGTACAACATTAACACTGAGGAAGTAAAATTAATAAAAAGAAAGCAAGACAGGCCTATTCACTAGATAAAAAGCTACAGAACCCAAAAGACAAAAAGAAGATCATAAGAGAACACAGAGAGAAGAGACAAATCCCCTACCAAGGATCAATATAAAGACTAGCCCAATCTTCCATCTAGTCGTTTAATCTAACAGCAGTAGAATAATATCTCAAAGTTCTGAGTAAAAATACTTGTCAAACTAAAACTGTGTATCAAGCAAAACTCTCTTTCCAGAACAAAAGTGAAATAGACATGCTTTCAGATGCTCAACAACTAAGAGTTAAGTACCAATATATTTCCACTAAAAGAATTTCCAAAGGATGCAGTTCATGAAGAAAAATTATCCTGGATGAGTAGTGTGGGATGCAAGGAAGAATGGTGAGTAAATAAGATTCTAAATACAAAAACATCAATCAAATTTTCTCTATAAAATAACAATTACAATACCTAATTGTTCAGTTTAAAAAGAGAATAAAACAGCATATAAATTAGGAGAGGGGTAACTGGAGCTAAAAGTGTTCTAAACTCTACTGTTTGCAGAGGGTATAAAGATTTTGTTTAACTTCAGCCTTTAAATTAAACTTGTATAGTAAAATTTCAAGCCTAACTACTACCAAGAAACAAAGTATATAAATCCAAACCACTAAAAAAAAAAAAAATAAGAAAAAAGATGAGAAAAATTTTATAGAAAAGAAAGGAAAAAGAAAAAAAGAAAACCCTATAAATACTGTAAATCAGTATTACAATCAATCCAATTACATTCAATCTCTTACAGAGAATATAAAAAGAGAGACTACTCCACAACTCGCTCCATGAGGTCATTGTAATCTAAGAAACAAAATCAGATTAGGACAGTAGAGAAAGAATAGAACAAGACAATTTTAGCCATGAACATAAATGTAAAAGCTATGAATGAAATTTTAACAAATCGAATCCACCACAATATTTTTAAGTTGTGTTTATCCTAAGGATGAATCAACAAAGAGAAAAATCTGTAAGTTAATTCACCACATTAACAGATTAAAGAAAGATATATATGATCACCTCACAAATCTAAACCCATGTGTAATTTTTAAAAGTCTCTTGACAAAAGACATATGCACACCTATGTTTATTGCGGCACTATTCACAATAGCAAAGACTTGGAATCAACCCAAATGTCCATCAGTGACAGACTGGATTAAGAAAATGTGGCACATATACACCATGGAATACTATGCAGCCATAAAAAAGGATGAGTTTGTGTCCTTTGTAGGGACATGGATGCACCTGGAAACCATCATTCTCAGCAAACTATCCAAGAACAGAAAACCAAATACCGCATGTTCTCACTCATAGGTGGGAACTGAACAATGAGATCACTTGGACTCGGAAAGGGGAACATCACACACCGGGACCTATTATGGGGAGGGGGGAGAGGGGAGGGATTGCATGGGGAGTTATACCTGATGTAAATGACGAGTTGATGGGTGCTGACGAGTTGATGGGTGCAGCACACCAACATGGCACAAGTATACCTATGTAACAAACCTGCACGTTATGCACATGTACCCTAGAACTTAAAGTATAATAATAATAATAATAATAGAAGGCAACTTTCTTAACATGACGAAGATGATAAACCACTTTTAATGGTAAAATACTAGAAGTATTCCCTTTAAGATCAGGAAAGAGAATGCCCATCACTACCAACAGCATTCCAGCAAGAATAGAAAAACTAATTGATCAAAGGTCTAAGGGTTGGAAAGACAGAAATAAAACCACTAGAATTCACAGTATTATCTTTCGAGTAGTATCTTACATGGCAATTATAGCTTCTGTCTCTTCCACCTCCCACACCACAATTTATCTGGTTCTTCTCAAGGTATAAACACATCTTGCATCCTTGTTAAAAACTAGAATATCACACTTGAGGCTGTTTAAAGTCACAGATATCATTAAACATATCATTCTAACCCAGTCAGAATCTATTCTATGCTGAGGGCATATGAAGCACTAGACACTTGGCAGCATTATGGGCAAATCCAAACTCTTGTAACTTAAGGGATGAGCTAGCTGAAAGAGGGTTTGAAAACCCATATACCACCTCCAGATGATCCTAGAGTTAACCAAAGTGCTCACTTCACAGTTTTTACTCTCAAGCCCAAGGAAGTTTGAGAACCAGCATACTACTATCAAGCTTTTGTGCTTTGCAGGTACAAGAGACAATGGCAGATTAAGTGTGAATAAAAGCATCCAGAAAACAAGGTTTTCTTTTCAACTCCACCTTCCTCTACTTCCCCATCCCTCATGCTCTTTTAAAATTTCTCCTTAGGATAAATTGTCTCTGTCTCTTTCTATAAAAGACTAATGGTTTCAACCATGGAATCCCTTCTTCAAAAGAAATCTTCCTGAAAGTTTAAGACATAAAACAAATGAAGGCAGAACTGTTTGGTTCAAGCAATAGTTGGAAGCCAGAAACTCATTCTGATCTGGCTCTCCTTCCCTCCTCCCACAAATACACAGAGGCCCCTCTTAAGAACAGTTTGAAAAACCATTACACTGGTAGTATGTGTAATTTCATTTGGTTTCGGCGGCTTAAATGGTCAACCTAGGGAATGACATTGCAGGCTGCTCTTAAAGGGATAGATTTCAAGTAAGATAGAATTGAGCAAACACACAAGCAGGTTTGTTTACCAAGTTATAGAATAAGGGGTGAAATGCCACATTTACAGCAATTAGTTCCTAACATCAAGTATAAAACACAAGAAAAAGTTATTAAAAATAAAGACAAGGACTGACCTGCTCAGAATTGTTTTTGCCTGGACTTCAGAAATATGCATACCCAGAGACTTCAAAGCAGCAATTATTTCTGAAGCAACTATTACTCCTTGAAAAATGAAAAAATGTCAAGTTAAAGTATCTGAAAAGACAATAAGGCAAATATACTTACAATGTAAAAGGCTTTAAAGGACCATATGGTTTTGACCTATAAGGCCCATATGTTTTGACCTATAATCCCATATCCACACGTCAAAGCCTAACAAACTTTTTGGAAAATTGGTACCAAAGTTCATTTGGTGGCAAAATCTACCTTAAACAGACATTAGGTTAATTTTAGTCAATTACTTACCTAATTTAGTGTGAATATTCACGTTTCACTGCAGAAGCATTCATACTTATAACTACATGGTGGTGCCCCATAGTCCCCATATCATATATGTACTGCATTACTTTTCTAAAATCCAAATTTTAAATTTCAAACCATATTTGGCCCCAGACATTTCCAATGGAATTGTAGGTCTATAAGATATTCTTAACTTGAAAAGAACTGAAAAAGTCAATTCTGAAGATTTGATCCATGGGACTGAAATAAGGCCAGTCAATATTTTATAAGGTAAGCTTTCAAAGAAACAATTGATTAAAATATAACACCAAACTCATGATTTAACACATAATATGATGTATATATTATGATATATGATATGTTATGATAATATATAAATCAAATCTATATGATTCATATATTAAATCATAGTATATGTTTTAACACATCATATACTATGTTAAATAACTCAAATCAATGAATATATTTAATATAAGCTTACTATGCATTGCACTCACAATGCTGGACGTTGTGAAGGGATAATTAAGTATTGCATATTCTCCTCAAATTCTAAAACACAGATCTAATCCTATCACTCTCCAAGGCCAAAGAAACTTTGATTCCTGCCTTGCATAAAGCAAGTAGTTGAGGATATCCAATATTTTTAAATATAAGGACAATGTTTTTAATGTAAAAATAAATTAACTTTAGCATCTCCTAGTTGAAAAATACATAATGTCAAAAAGTTACTATAAATTTGAAAAATACATAATGTCAAAAAGTTACTATAAATTTAGTCACACTTTTAATTTGTATTTATGAACTACAGCTGCCTATGCATACCTTTACACACACACATATATGTATGAGATGTTACTTATTTGGTCAATAGACAAAGCCCGTTATTCATCTGCAGAATCTCAGACTCTTTGCAATGACTCAAGGGCCTCCAGTATTTCAAGCTCCATAGAATGTAGTTTACTGGTCAATTACTCAACCTAGAAATCAAAGTTTCTTCAACAGGGGAGGCAAGATCCTCTGCCTTATATACCATTATAATCTTCAAATACTATACTCTCCAATTCAATGTAATAATTTTTAAAATTTGAAAACCTACTATGCAAATCACTATGCTAAATGTGAAGGAATCCAAAAATTAATAAACACCCCAAAGGAGTTTACCAATTTGTATAGATGCACCAATTACTTTAAAAATAACTACTGCTAAATGTTTGTTAATAGAAGAGCTAGGAATAAAATGCAATGGAAGGGTAAATTAAGGAGTAAATAAGAGTTACAAATGAGATACTATAAAGGATAAACAAGAGACCACCAAAGAAACAAAAAGCATTTTAATAATAGGTAAAGTATGAGCAAGGTACACATATTTATTTAACTAAGATGTATTGAAAACTTACATATGGGCCGGGCGTGGTGGCTCAAGCCTGTAATCCCAGCACTTTGGGAGGCCGAGACGGGCGGATCACGAGTTCAGGAGATCGAGACCATCCCGGCTAACACGGTGAAACCCCGTCTCTACTAAAATACAAAAAAAATTAGCCGGGCGAGGTGGCGGGCGCCTGTACTCCCAGCTACTCGGGAGGCTGAGGCAGGAGAATGGCGTGAACCCGGGAGGCGGGGCTTGCAGTGAGCTGAGATCCGGCCATTGCACTCCAGCCTGGGCAACAGAGCTAGACTCTGTCTCAAAACAAAAAAAAAAAGAAAACTTACATATGGTATCAGAAATCAGGACAGTAGGTACCTGCAGAGCAGGGGTAGTGATTTGGAGTGGGTAAAAAAGGAATGTTTCTGAGATGCTTGTAATAATCTACTTCTTAGTCTAGATGCTATTTTCATGCTGCAAGTTTGCCTTGTGAAAATTCATGGAGCTCACATTTATAATTTATGTATTTTGCAGTATATGTTATATATCAATGAAATGTTCCAAAAAAATAGTAAGTCAGGGACAAACTGGAAATGTCATTTAATCAGCTCTGACCTTCTCTGGTAATTTCCCAACTATGCCTTTGTTCAAGCTATTGTCTCCGCTCAAGAAACCGTTTCTTTTCATTTCTGTTTGTATATTAACCCAGTACAAATCTTAATTGTGCCTGGACACAATTAAGTTCTTCTTGTATCACTTTTATACCAATAATCATAGTCTACCTTGTGTATAGCTATATACGTCTTTTATTACTCCACCCAAAACTGTGTTTCTGAAGACTTTTGTTAACACAGTTCCTAGTGCACTAGCTCATATATAATGCTTGAATACTGTTTGCTTAATTGACTAAAATATATGAAGTAATCCTTACCTAAAAGAACCTAGAATTCAGGCAGATATGTAGAAAAAAAACATAGGTAATCCAATCCAGAACATAATCAAGGTCTATGGGCTTAAAGGGACATTCAGTGTTGTCTTTAATTATATGCAGTAAGCTTTCACTGAGAAGACGGAATTGAAACGAATTGAATGGGATAACAGTATTTAGAGAGATGGAGGGGAGGACTGCAACCATTCTAACAATGTAATTCCAGGGAGAAATGTAAAATATTCCATTCCTGTACCAGTGATCTATTGCTAAGTTACAAACCACCCCAAAATGTAGTGGCTTACAAAGACTATATTTAGTTATGAATATGCAATCTGAGTTTGGTTAAACTTGTTGGTTCAGTTGGTTGGTTCCTTTTCTGATCTGGTCTTGCTCATTCATGTAAATTTAATCAACTATTGGTTCCACTGCAGCTGGCCAAGATTACTTCAATCACATGTCTGTCACCTCAGATGAGAATATAGAACAGTTAAGGACTCACTGGGTAGCTGTCTCCAGGTGATCTCTCCCCCTGGGTAGCTATGACAGCAGCAGGAGGCAGACGAATTCCCAGGCAGAAATGAGCAAGTCCCCGCTGAAACCCAACCTTCAAACCAAAGACAGCCCAAAGTCTGAAAAGTGAGCTACCAGAGTCCACGACTAATGCGAGAACTTCCTCAATGCCTTTTACCCAATGAAATGGTGCTTTTTCCAGGCCTGCCCATGGACCAGTCAGCATGCACTCCCCCATTCGGAGCTCATTAGAAACCCCAGACTCAGCCACACGTTGTACTACCCACTTACAGGCCCACTCCCACACACAGGGCCACCCGCCCTCAAGTCCTCTCTCTGCTGAGAGCTTTCCTCCTTTCACTCAATAAAATTCTGCCCTGCCTTGCTGACTCTCCAGTGTCAATGTAAACTCATACTTCTTGGTTATAGGACAAGAACTCAGAGCCTGCCAAACAGCAGGAGCAAAAAAGGCTATAACACATTCCTGGCCAACTCTCTGAGCTACAGGCAGTGACATGCTTCCCATTTGCCAGACTATGGGAACGAAAAGCAACAACACTTCTCGGGGTCCAGACCTCAGAATTCCCCAAGTCAGAGCTGTAACACAGCAACCCTTCTCCCCAGCAATGGGCTGCCACCCTATGTGATGGGAAGCCGCAGCAGCAGGGCTGGGTCAGCCCAGGAGCTATGACTGGAGAAGGGTGGTGGGACCAAACAAGCTGTGACAGGTCCCCATTTGCCAAAGTGGGTGGATGGCAGGAACAAATGAGCTGTAACGCAAACAAGCTGTAATGTTTCCTGGTGGCTCAGTGCTCAGAACTCCCCGAGCAAAAGGCTGTAACGCATCTTAGGGCTCTGCAATTGCTGTCATCTCTGAGTTGCCAAGTGCTACTGCATCCCCCTTATCTAGACACTGGTGCCCAAGGTGGAAGGCATTCAAGGCAGCATGCCTGGACTAGTCATGGGCTGAGTGCAGAGCCAGCAGGGGCGGGATCCAGGCCAGCAGCACAAGCTGAATGTAGCCTGCCAGCCCAAGTGGGCAGAGCAAGCCCAGTGGGCACAAGCAAAACTTGGGCAAAGGCGCCATCAGCCACAAAGGTTTCCAGCTGGTGAAGAGCACCAAAAGAATCCTATGTCAGCTAGGCTTTTTTTCTGGTGGTTTACAGTGTTCAAGAGACAGCACTCAAGAAGACAAGCCCCAATGTACAAGTACTTGTATCAAGATTTGCTTATGTTCCAAGGGCTAAAGTAAGCTAAATGGCCAAGCCCAGGTCAGTGTGGCACATGGCAACAAAAGGGCATGAATCCTGAGAGGTGTGGTTCATTGGGATACCCAACGTAAGCAAAATTATTGAGCCTTCCTAAGCTTTAGAGTTCTCAACTACAAAACATAGCTGCTGTGATGATTGTGTGAGATAAAAATAAGATGTAGAAGGTAAAATAGGTAGAACAAATATGGCAAGGAGTAGAGTTCAGTAAATGTTAGTTCCTTTCCCTCCATTTCCTCAATCCCCAAAAAGCTCTATCCAAAAAAACAACCTTAACGATGAAATTACATTTATTAATTTATTAAATATTACATTTATTAAATTACATTTAATAATTACTTCATTCACATATTTGCAACAGCATTCTATGGACATTTTGGCTGAACAGAGCAGCATTTCTTGGTGATTAATATGGTTTGGCTTGTGTCCCCACCCAAATCTCACCTTCAATTGTAATAATCCCCACGTGTCAGGGGCAGGGCCAGGTGGTGATAATTGAATCATGAGGGCAGTTTCCCCCATACTGTTCCCATGGTAGTGAATAAGTCTCATGAGATCTGATGGTTTTATAAATGGGAGTTCCCCGCACAAGCTCTCCTGCCTGCCACCATGTAAGATGTGACTTTGCCCCTCATTTGCCTTCAGCCATGATGGTGAGGCCACCTCAGCCATGTGGAACTGTGAGTCCACTAAACCTCTTTCCTTTATAAATTACCCACTTTCAAGTATGTCATTATTAGCAGCATGAGAACGGACTAATACAGTGAGAGAAGTTAACCAGGTCAGTTCACATGGGGCCTTGCATCCTTCTAACTAGTGAATGTGATAGTAGACCAGCCCACATGAATCCCCTTGCCTCCATTATTGGCATAAGGCCTGGAAATCCTTCTAGGCAATTGGGCAGGGGTCATTAAAAATGAATCTTCTCCCATCCTGGTCCTTCCAGAATCACAGGCTGGACTAAATAGCGAAGATTTATCCCTGCCTCAAAACAACTTTAAAGGACAGAAGAGGGGCTGTCTTGCAAATGTGCAGATAACAATACAAGAACACAAGGATTACAAAATATCAAGGAATCATAACGCCTCCAAAAGAAACTAATAAAGTATCAATGATAGACCCCAAAGAAAAGAAGATCTATGAAATTAACTGACAAAGAATTCAAAATAATCCGCTAAAAGATCAACACAAGAGTATACAAATATAACATTTAATGACATTTGGCAAAACAATACACAAAGTAAGAAGCTCAACAATAAAATAAAAACATTAAAAAGAATCAAGTAGAAATTCTAGAGATGAAGAATACAATCACTGGACTGAAAAATTCAGTAAAAATTATTAACAACAGACTCGATCTTTCTTCTGATGAAATCAATGGTCCAACAAATAGAAAATTTGAAATTATCCAGTCAGAGGAACAAGAAGACAAAAGACTCAAAAAGAATGAAGAAAACCTACAGGAACTATGGGACACCATCAAAAGATTAAACCTGGCTCGGTACAGTGGCTCATACCTATAATTCCAACACTTTGGGAGGCCAAGGCAGGTGGATCATGAGGTCAGGAGATCGAGACCATCCTGGCTAACATGGTGAAACCCTGTCTCTACTAAAAATACAAAAAAATTACTGGGGCATGGTGGTGGGCGCCTGTAGTCCCAGCTACTTGGGAGGCTGAGGCAGGAGAACGGTGTGAACCCGGGAGGCGGAGCTTGCAGTGAGCCAAGATTGCACCACTGCACTTGGGTCTGGGTGACAGAGCGAGACTGTCTAAAAAAACAAACAAACAAACAAACAAAAAAACCTTTGCATAATAGGATAAAGGACAAGAACACGTATTTAAAGATACATTGGCTAAAGACTTCCCTAATCGGGGATAGATGCCAATATCCAGGTATAGGAAACACAGAGATGTTCAATAAATTCAACTCAAAAAAGAGTTCACCAAGACACATAATAATCAAACCACCAAAAATCAAAGACAAAAATTCTGAGAGCAGCAAAAGATAAGAAACACATCACATAAAAAGGAGTGCCAATACAACTAACAGTGGATTTCTCAGCAGAAACCCTACAGGCTAGGAGACATATAATCAAAGTGCTAAAGATGATATATTCAAAGTGCTAAAGAAAAAAAAAAACTGCCAACCAAGAAGACTTTATCCACAAAACTGTAATTCAGAATTGAGGCATAAAAACGTTCCCAGAAAAAAAGCTAAGGGAGTTCATTACCATGAGACCTGCTTTGCAAGGATGTCTAAAGAGAGTTCTTTAAGCTGAAACAAAAGGCTGGTAATTAATGACATGACACAAATGAAAGCACTAAGCTAAATGGTATAAGTAAAACAGATCCATATTTAGAATATTCTGGGAATGCAATGGTGACCAAGCAATTTCATTCCTGGTGCAAGAGTTAAAAGAAAACTATTAATAACTATAGCTAAAATAAATTGTCAAAAGAAACACATTATAAAATGACTTAAATTCTGACATCAAAAGCATAAAATATGGGGAAGGGGCCATAAGAGTACTTTGCTATGTGCAAATTTAAGTTGTTATCAGCTTGAAATAGGCTATTACAAATACGAGATGCTCTATGTAGGCCTCATGGTAACCACAAATCAGAAATCTTTAGTAGAAGGACAATTTAGTAGAAAGATATTAAGATAAGCTTCAATACATCAAGAAGATACAATAATTACAAATTTTTTTTGCATATAACAGGTCATCAAAACATATGAAGCAAAAATTGGCAGAATAGAAGGGAGAAATAGTTAGTTCTACAATATTAGTTGAAGAATACCCCCACATTGAATAATGAATAGAATGACCAAACAGAAGATAAGTAAGGAAACAGAGAATTTGAACAACACAATAAACCATCTAGATCTAACAGGCTTATACAGAATATACTATGCAACAGGAAAAAAAGTACACACTCTTCTCAGGGACACACAGGACGTTCTCCAGAAAAGATCATACTCTGGGTCACAAAACAAGTCTTAATAAATTTTAAAAGACTGAAATCATGCCAAGTATCTTCTAATACAGTGAGAGAAGTTAACCAGGTCAGTTCACATGGGGCCTTGCATCCTTCTAACTAGTGAATGTGATAGTAGACCCGCCCACATGAATCCCCAAGTATCTTCTCTTACCACTGTGGAATGAAACCAGAAATCAATGACAAAATGAAAATTGGAAAATTCATTAATGGATAGAAATTAAATAACACACTCTAATGGGTCAAAGAAAAAAATAACAAGGAAAATTATAAAATATCTTCAGACAAATGAATCAAAAGTACAAGACACCGGCCGGGCGCAGTGGCTCAAGCATGTAATCCCAGCACTTTGGGAGGCTGAGACGGGCGGATCACGAGGTCAGGAGTTCGAGACCATCCTGGCTAACACGGTGAAACCCCGTCTCTACTAAAAAATACAAAAAACTAGCCGGGCGAGGTGGTGGGCGCCTGTAGTCCCGGCTACTCGGGAGGCTGAGGCAGGAGAATGGCGTAAAAACCCGGGAGGCGGAGCTTGCAGTGAGCTGAGATCCCGCCACTGCACTCCATCCTGGGCGACACAGCGAGACTCCGTCTCAAAAAAAAAAAAAAAAAAAAAGTACAAGACACCAAAACTTACGAGATACGGCAAAAAGTTGTACTAAGAGAGAAGTTTACAGAGATAAATGCTTACATATAAAAAAAATAAGAAGAAGAAGAAGAAGGATCTCAAGTCAGCAACCTAACTTTACAACATAAGGAACTTAAAAAAAGAGCAAATTAAATCCAAAACTAGCAGGCAGAAAAAATAAAGATTAGAACAGATATAGAGGAAATGAGAAAAGAAATATAATAGAGAAAAACAACGAAATCACAAGTTAGTTCTTCAAAAAGATCAACATAGGTGGACGGACTAAGAAAAAAGAAAGAAACAAGACTCAAATTACTAACGTCAGAAATGAAAGTGGGGACATAACTACTGATTCTATGGATATAAAAAGGATTATAAGAAAGTACTATATACTACATGCCAACAAATTGGATACCTTAGATGAAATAGAAAATTCCTAGAAACACAAAACCTACCAATACTAAGTTATGAAGAAACAGAAAATCTGAATAGGTCTATAACTAATGAGGAGGTTGAATCAGTAATCAAGAATCTCCCAATTAAAAAAAAAAAAAAAAGTCCAGGATCTGATAGCTTCACTGCTAAATTCTACCATTTAAAAACTAACCCCACTACTTCTCAAACATTTCCAAATAAAATTTTAAAATCTGATTCATCCTATGAGGCCAGCATTACCCCCAATACCAAAGCCATACAAAGACACTACAAGAAAATAAAATTACAGACCAGTATCTCTCATGAACACTTATACAAGAATCCTCCCAAAAAATGATAACAAACTGAATTTATTAGATTAAAAAGGTTATACACCATCCTCAAGTGATATTTATTCCTGGAATACAAGGAGGAATTTTAAAAAATCAATCAGTGTAATACATAACATTAACAGAATGATGGCAAAAAACACAAACATTGACAAGACTGCTAACCATTGACAGAGAAAAAATAAAATAATTCTTTTTCTTGATATCCTGAAACTTCCATGTAAATAGTTTAAAAATACTCAAGTCAAGACTGGCCTAGAAAGGAAGGTATTCCTAATTTACGTGAGGTTCTAAAACAATCAGCTGAAGTGAAAAACCCATGGATCAAGGTCTGACTTCCCCTAGACCTTGGTGTGGATGTCAGAAAGAGAATAGCTCTGGGGCTCTTACCTGTGCCTGTCGTTTGGAGACGTCACTGAAGCACACTGGGCTGGGCAGAGAAATCCGTAAGAAAAGAGATGGTCCTTTACTTCTGCACAAAGGCTAACACGGTCCCTGACGTTTGTGTGCTGATTCCATAAATGTTGAACGAGTCACCAGAAACCGCATCTCCCCCAAAGCCTCTGGGGGTCTTAGTCACCAAGGAAAGTGGCTCTTTTTCTTTTTCTTCTTTTCTTTTCTTTTTTTTTTTTTTTTTTTTTTTTTTTTTTTTTTGATAAGGAATCTCGCAATGGCGCCATCTCAGCTCACTGCGACTTCCGCCTTCCGGGTTCAAGCGAGTCCCCTGCCTCAGCCTCCGGAGTAGCTGGGATTACAGGTGCGCGCCACCACGCCCGGCTAATTTTGGTATTTGTTTAGTAGAGACGGGGTTTCAACATGTTGGCCAGGCTGGTCTCCAACTCCTGACCTCAGGCGATACACCCGCCTGGGCCTCCCAAAATGCTGGGATTACAGGCGTGAGACACCGCGCCTGGCCGGAAAGGGGCTATTTTAAGAAGACCGAGAACACGTTTCCCTGAGTCGCATTATTCTGCATGAGGAGGCTCACAGAGGAGAACCCCACCCTTACTCCAAAGGCCTTTGAAAGCAGCTCTGGAAAGGGCAGGGTTTGCTTCACCCTCTGCCCAACGTCTCCCCAGGCTGCCCGTGCCACCTTCCGGTCTCACCTCCTCGGAGTTCGGGTCAAACGCGGAGCTCCAGTTTCTGAGCCCCTCCTGGAGCTCAGTGATGTCCACCACGCCGTCCCCATTGCGGACCAGGTCTTCGAAAAGGATCCCGTAGCGTAAGGAGTCATCGTCATCCTGGCAAGCCACCGCCTCCAGCACGAAGCCCTGCATCCAGAGCAGCATGGCTGGGTCCAGAGGCTGCGGGGACCACTAGGCCACCCCGCCCGCACCGCGGCACTAGTCGCCGCCTCCTCGACTCCTGGCTGCGCAAACCAGGGGGTCCCGGCCGTCAGCCAGCTTCTGCAACTGTCTGGTGGAGCCGCTGCAGTTCGGAGTCCATGCGGGCCAAGCCACCCGCGCCTGCGGGCTCCCGGGCGCCACGGAGAGGCGGCGCCACCTTGTGGGACCTCTGGCCGAGGCGCCACGCGACACCTGAGGCGCCAGGTGTGAGGTGAGGTGCCAGACGTGAGTTGAGTAGCCAGACGTGGTCGCGTTGGGTACCCAGGACCCCTGGACGGGTGGTCGAAAGGAGAGCCGAGGGCCGTTTGGGGAAAGGGAGCGCGTTCCCCAGCAGGCTCCAAAGGGCACTCGCGGGTGTGAGATTCTCGCGATGCAGACTCAGTGCCTGCCGGAAGTCACTGCCCCGGGAGATATGGCCAGGAGTGAGCCGCTCAGACGCGCTCTTATGCCATCGTCCAGTACTCTGGTGCCACCCTTCCTCCCAGGAGGACCTGCACCTAGAGGTCAGAACCCCGGCGACCCCGCAAAAGAGGTCTAAAGAGGAAAGGCCTCCTGAGGAGCCTCTGCCCTGTTCCTGTCTCTCTCTTCCCTCCTTGCCGGCTTAGCCCATGTTGGCAAACCTATTTTGGCCATAGTGGGATTAGACTTTTCATGTTTTTATGTAACCTTTTTCCAGTTAGTTGGGTTGTGTGCAGAAATACGTCTATCTCTATTAATAAACGAAAGATAAAAATAAATAATAAATAGAAGTAAGATACATACGATTAAAATGAGAACATTTCTCCAAATCCAGAAATACGAAACACACATCATAACAGTTCCAATTTGTATGCCACATTTCTATTCATAAATTTTGTTCTAAAATAGAGAGAAAAAGTAAATAGCAAAATACTTTCAAGTAGATCTGAAGCATTCAAAGTATTTTTGGTATGCATTTATTTTAAATCAATCTCTGAGTTTTATTATCTATAGGGCTATTAAGGGATCCAGTTCCCATTTATTTTTTCTCTATATTTTAGAATAGAAGTTCAAATAAACAAATTTAATTTCTAACTGCTTGTTAATTATGAGGCATGATAACACATACTAATTTATCAAGATGTGCTTTATATTAGTCACATTTATGTAAACTGTATGAGTTCATTATATATGTTTCAAATCTTTCTATTAATCCTTTTAAGAAAAAAACGGATAATCTGTCTAAAAATTGACTTTGGTTACTCAAATTTATGTTAATTGTGCGTTTATATTCATTTCAATTTTTAGAAAATGTAACAACTTAATTCCATCATTAATCGTTTATTAAGTACCCTATCCCAACCTGAGAAAGTTAAATTTCTCTAATGTCACAGCAAATTCAAACATGGCATTTAACAAGAGGGAAAAAGATTATATCAAATATTCTTCTGAATTTTAACACTTTACAGTGAGAGCAGATTTTAACTACATTTTGGTATTTATAAATTATATACTTATAGTTAAATTTATGAAATCACAATTTTAGAATGCATCTAATCTTTATAATGTAGCTATACATAGACATCTTTAAAAATCTTTGGCCTAGTCTCTTCCAACATAAATTGAAAAGATAGAGGCAAAAAAAGGAGAGATGGAGAAGAATACTATTCATATAAGTTTAAGACTTAAAAGGGAAGTTCTAGTCAGCCTTTCTTCATTCTAGTAGATCGGAGCTTGAAAGTAAAGTATGAAGTACATAGAGAAAAAAAGAAAAACTCAGTCTTTTTAAACACAAATTTAAGTATAAGAGCTCACACAGAACCTGGGAGGCGGCGCTTGCAGTGAGCCCAGATGGCGCCACTGCACTCCAGCCTGGGAAACAGAGCGAGACTCCGTCTCAAAAAAAAAAAGCTCACACATTTTTCTGAATTACTTTGGTTACATTGCTGACTTTCTTGTAATTGTTCCATTCACAACACTGGTAGGAGACTGAGGTATTCTGATGCCATGAAATTGTATTTATGATTTTCTGTTTTGTTTTATTTTAGAGAAGGAAAAGGACCCCCAACTCGACTGTTTTGCTGTGAATTATAGTTTTAAATGCATGAGTTTTCTATTAGTACTTTCAAACATTTTAAATATGCACATATGGCAAGGAGAGGTGAAAAAATAAAAATAAATTTAAAATGCACATAAAGCACTAAAATATTAGCTTTTAAAATACAAGTAGAGAATTCAGAAAAGCTTCAAAATATTCTAACTCTTTAATATGAAATTATACTAGGGCAATTATATAATTAGGTTATATTCTGTATTATAAATTGCATTTTAATCCACTTAAATGCAAATTTCTATGACTGTTCATTAACATTTGGAAAAATATAAATAGATTTTGTGAATATTGCAGATTTTAATTCACCAAGAAATTAATAAACTTATTTCTGGTTTACTTAAAATTCAATATTTAAGTCTAATTTGTATGTTTACCTTTTGGGAAAATGGATATAGCATCTTTTCATACAGACCTTTTGCAAATTAAGGAAAAAGCCAAGACATTTTCATATTTCTAAACAAGTGTCCAGATAATGACTGTTCAAGATTTCATTTCTATTTTTTATTTTTGAGACCGATTTTCACTCTTGTTGCCCAGACTGTAGTGCAATGGCACAATCTTGGCTCACCGCAACCTCTGCCTCCTGGGTTCAAGTGATTCTCCTGCCTCAGCCTCCTGAGTAGCTGAGATTACAGGCGTGTGCCACCACCCGCTTAATTTTGTATTTTTAGTAGAGACAGAGTTTCTCCATGTTGGTCAGGCTGGTCTCGAACTCCTGACCTCAAGTAATCCACCTACCTCAGCCTTCCAAAGTGCTGAGATTACAGGTGTGAGCCACCACGCCCAGTTTCAAGATTTCATTTCTAAAATATTCCCAAGAGCAGTTTTGCTGATTCATAAACCACACAGTTTATAACACACTGACATAAGAAACGTTAAGAAACTTAGAGTCACGCCTCTGGAAAACCCTGTCACTCCACTCCTTTTATAAATTTGAGAAAATAAGCTGATCATATTTAGCTGTGGGACTCATATTGCAGCTAGAGAATGCAAAGGAAGGGAAAAGGTCAATTAATTTGATATTTTAGCTTTCTTAAATATTAAGTTAAAACATGCTAAAACAGATAATAAAATAAAATTAATTAAATTGCTGCACAAGGATCCCCAAGGGAAAATCTCTAGTTAATTATAGTTTATAGTCAGAGGCTCTCATGGAACTATTTGATGATCATCACTATTTAATTTTCCTTCCTTTTAGGAACAAAGTCTGTCCACTAATAGTGAAATCTACTTATGATTATTGTGGAGTTACAACTTAAAAAATTCTCTAGACATACACAGGTACCTTCATTCAACCTCTCATGTCTTAAGAACGTCTCAAATTTAGAAACAACAAAAAATATATGTATGTTTCTCATTCTGTGTTTCACTTTTCAGGGAATGACTGCACCATTCATATAGCTTCTGCAACTGAAACCCTAGAAGGTATCCATGACATTTCCCTTTTAATCGCAGTTTATAACTAGATATTTGTATACATTTTTAATTAATTTCTATCTTCCCTACTAGACTGTCAATTCTATAACAGCAGGGTCTCTTTTTCTCACCCAAACACCATGTGCTTGGCTTGTTGCACAGTACCTGGCTACCTTAAATTCTCAAATTACAATAGCTAGTATTTTTTTCTCTAATCTTTATATTATCCTAGTATTTTTCACTCTAATCTTTATATTATGTTCCCAAAATTGATGTAGCTAAATAGAGTAAAATCAATAGACCATTGAAAAGTAAGTCTTTCACTGTTCGTTTTAGTCTAAACATTCTGTTTCCCCCTCCCGCCCACCCCTACAAGAAATTAAATAACTCCTCTAAAATGTAGAGAAGATCCCTTGAAAATTTAGAAAATATTTACTTGCCATGGAATTTCTTGGAAAATGTTCTGTTGCTATATGCATCTTTTTGTTTTTTTAATCAGAAACTAATAACATCCCCTCCAGTTTATATAGTTTCATAATGAAATTGGAAAGTTTCTTACTTTTTTCTAATGTTGAACTTACTTTGCCCATTGATTTTCTCCCAACTTATTACGAAAACTGTAAACTCTAGAAAGGATAGCACAATGAACATTTATATATTCACCACCTATAAAATGCAACATTTTGCCATAATTACATTTTGTCTCTCTCCATTCTACTTAAATATGTATGTAAATGTGTGTGTGTCTATCTGAGCCATTTGAAAGTAAGTTACAGATATGATGACACTTAACCA